TCTGGAGAGGAGAAGGGTCAGAGGGAATTTGATTAGAGGTGTTTAAGATTATTAAGTGTATTGATAATATAGATCTATCAAACTTTTTTGTGTCCAGCAGTGAAAACAATAGGACAAGGGGTCATAAATTCAAATTTTGGTAGTGTAGATGTCATCTGCAGTTTAGACAGTATTACTTTTGAAACAGGGTGTTTGGCTTTTGGAATGATCTGCCTTCAAGGGTGATGGACACAGAAAATTTAACTGAGTTCAAAAAAAGATTGTATGAATACATGAGTAGTAATGGGTGGTTATAGTTGGGAGCTGGAAGGGACATCCTTGATGGGCTAATAAGCTTCTTTTTGTCCCTTTAAAATTTGATAAATTTTTATAAATATTCTAATTCAAGTTATTTTGAGAATACAGTAGTCAACTTGGACTAGTTTGCTTAGTTTGTGAAATTATGTACCAAGTTATTGATGCTAGGCTGGGCTATCATATGTTAGCCCTGTTGCTATAGTGTAGAACTGTGAGTAGCATTCTTCACCTCTTTTTTTTTCTTCTTTATAGTAAAAGCACAATTCTCTGTTATATTTGCATTGGAAACTTGGTGTAAAAAAATAATAATTGTCAGAACTTTAAGTATATATATGGGTATGGGCCAAGGATTCTTCTACAGTAGGTGTGTGTGACTTGGTGCTAAATTTGAACAATAAACGGACAGCACACTTCACTTGTTTTAAAATAATATATTCAAAACAAGCTAAATGTATGTACAACAATTCTTTACACGATGGAGATCATAGTTGTATCTTAGATGCTATACAGTTCTCTCCTTCTTGTCAAAAGTACACTTAGGCTAATTCAATTGCTTTAGAATCCAGTTGACAAGCCAAGCTATTTTTCTCTACTTTTATCACAATAGCATCAGTGGATAATTCACTTATGCTGCCTGTGAGTTACCACAGTTGTATCCTGAACTTCCAATAATTGTTTCCTTTTCGTGAAAGTCCACACAGGTGGGTTCAATTAGTTTAGAACACCCTTTTACAAGAAAAATTATTCTCCTTATCTCTATCAAACTGTTAATCTCACTTTAAAATATCAACTGTTAAAGCTATTCACTCCCATGACAGCTAACTGCACATTTTCTAACTTTTCTCTGACTGAACTTCTCTTTCACTTGACTTAACTTTTACTCTGCTCCCGCTCGTTTGGTCGCTGCTACTTATATGTTTATCACTGAGGCCTCTAGAATATTCTATAGCTTCGACACCAATAAATTGCAAACACAACATACAACTATTACTAAGTTACGTAACTAAACTTTTCATATCTATCACCTTTAGAATCATTGCTTTTAACTTCTTGTTATGAAAAAACTAAACAGGCATTAAATATTAACTCACAAAATAAATTAATTATTACTGCCTACACTAAACAGTCTTGTATATCCAACAATAAGCCCCTCTTCAAGAAAATATTTACAATATTTTTTTACACAATATAGAAAGACTGTTCTAAGTTCATATACTAAGTCTTTTCAAATAGTCTACACCAACATTTACAGTACCTTTAATAATTGATAATACAAATATATCAATAAATAACTAAGTACATGAAAAAGATTATTGTTGACTAGTTGTGTCCTTTAGTTGGTGGTTCCAAATTACAAACAGTGCCATGCTACTTGGACTACACGCTGAAAAATGTGATGTGACAGGACTTCATAATTGGAGGGAGGAAAGTGTGCATTTTGGCTGGTAGGAAAAAACTCCTCTAGTTTGTAACAATCATCAAAACTTTTAACCCTTGCTTCAATGGCCAAAGACATACTAAGTATAAATAACATGTCCAGCAAGATCTCTGACAAAGATTCGAAGTCTTTCTAGAGTCTCGGTGTTTTGGTGAACTATTGTGTTATGCAAGAATGCTAATCCCCCTCCCTTTAGTTAATATATACATTTTTCATGCATATTGAACATACAAGAGATCAGTCAACAGAACCATGAAATTCCTCTTCCTCTAGTTAGTCAAAGAACTAGGTCATTCAACTAGGCTGTCACATGTACTTTCTCAAGGGAAAAACTGGTGTAACATCAAACGTACTATATTGAAATTAGTTGATGTCTCAAGGATACAATATTCCATATTTAAGTGAGAGTGACTATCATTCACTTGAATAGTGCCTGCTACATGAGAATAATGTCATTATTGTTATTAGTATTCCATGTTTTCTCAGTCTGGAACAAGAGATTTAAGATAGATAAGAAGATTATAAGATAACAACTTAAGATTTCGATAATACAGATCTCTTTCCAGTAAAGGCACAACACTATACATTTGTTATTTAACTTTGATTGTGTTTTTCTGTGTTTAATTTATGTCTAGTCTTTCTTTTGACTTAAAATCAATAGGGGGTTAAGAGAATTCAAATTTCTGCTCTACAATACATTTTCATGTGTGCATTCTGTTATTCTGTGGTTCCTACCTAATAATTCAATGGAAAATCAATGAACCTGAAAAATACTACGTTCTGAAAAATTTTATGTAGAATGCTGTAGTTTATTTTCAATGCTAACTGTGCTAAATTCAACCTTCATAATAAAAAGACTTAAAAACCTAAAATATAGAATGTTGTTTTGTTTGTAAATTATTTTAAATTTCAAAGGTCTGAACTCGTATATAGCTGTAATGTTTGTTTATATATATATTACTTCTTTTTGTCATCAGTGGCTTAAGAAGAAAACTTTATTTTTATATGTAGGTATGTATATGTGTGTGTGTGTGTGTGTATATATATATATATATATATATATATATATAT